AGCTTAGTTCCATTGAATCTCAAATAATTTGATATTATTGATAATTCTCAAGGATTCTATGTATTTCCACTGCACTCAAGAATAGAAGCAAGATGCATATTCCATTCTACATTGGCAACTGCAAAGGAGATGATGCTTTAAAAAAGATTTTTTCTTTATGAACTCAGTATGATCTCCTTGAAAGGGCATGGGTCTCTTCCATGCTAACCACAAGCAGTGGTCAGCACAGTAGTATGTCCCCTTGTATTACTTGTCACTTGAATCTTCTCTTTGCCTTTCCCTCACTGTCATGCCCTCAGATTGCACTTCATAGAGAAAACATCAGCATTTAATCCCTGCCCTCAGGCTCTGTTCAAGATAAAGATTTATATGTTTATTTTTATACTTTCTTTCTCAAAGTAGGTTTTTATGTTTATTATTGTTGTGTATCCCCCTCTTCCTTCTTTGTGCACTACAATCTAAGCTGAGTGGTCTATTGCCAACGAGCACCAATTTTCCAAATCAGAGTGTTCAAGGGAAACATGCTTGTGTGATCCTCTTTAATTGAAGATACATACACCAGGCAATCTATCTACTTCTGTTCCCCAGAAATAAAATAACTAGAAATATTGCTGCTCTTCTTCCACATATTTGAATTTCAATTCTGGAAATTTCTTCAGACTGTCTTTGGTCAGGTGCAACAACCGTTTGCTTGATGATTTCCTGGACCCATTCCACTGATGGCTCAGCTCCAGCTTATAGCAACCTTTAGCAACAAGCTAAAGAACGTGATTACCAGATGAATATTTTGCATTATATCTGAAAATGAAAGGTGAGTTCAAAATTGTTCAGCGATCTCATTTGTAAAGCATTGTGTACACCGTTTGGATTGTGGTGAAGAGAATTTGTTAGGCAGGAACTAATGATATCTATAACATCATTTAAACCACTTCTTCTATGACATTTAAGTCTTGTGCATAATCTGGTAAAGGAACATCATTGGAACTCAGCGTCTCTCTCAAGTACTGTGCGGCTTGTTCCAGAATTTTGGTTTTTTTAGTCAGCAAGAAAACAAGTAGATTAATGGTTTATTATACAAGGATATAACTTAGGAACAGCCAGATGGGAAGAGACATATAGGACAAGGTATGTGGGAAGGGGCATGGTGCTTCCATGCTCTCAGCGTGTCACTGTCTCTGAAATCTCTATGTGTCACCCAAACGGGAACTTCTGTACTGTTTTTTCTTTTCTTTACTAATACTTAGTTCTTCCCTCTAAGTAGGATATATTAATTTTACTAGCTAAAAGCAAACTATGGTACATAAAATTCCAATTGGTTTTGAACTGTAGTGATAATGTCATGATATGTAATGGAAACAATATATTCATTTCATTAAAACTAAATATTTTAAAACAGAAATTGAAGAGTCAGAGTTTTCACCAGAAAGAGTTCATTCTGTCCCTAAGCCATAGCCTGTAAATGGGACATTTTATACACGATAAGAAAAGTAGAAAAAACCTCCAATTGTACTAAGAAAACTAGGATAATATAATGCCCTAGAAGCCAAGAGTGAATTTCAAGGAAGTAGTCAATTTTAAATCAAGGATAAAATGGAACAGAAAACTTACGCAGTAGTGAAACATATATCTCTTTTCTGTTAAGCCTTCTTGAGGCTTTAGTCTATTGATCCCTTCGGTAAAGTTGGAGGAAATGAAAATAGAGATCCCCTTTCACAAAATCCATTTTACTTCTCTTTCCTTTTTCTGCATATATGAGAAACTATGTCTTCTTTCTAGCAATTATTGTCCATTCATTATTCTAGCCAACTTCTGCAACTTTTCCTCAAGAATACCTCTTAAAACTGAATGAATGAGTAAAGTAAACAGAAATAGTCTCAGAGATATAGAGGAACAACTGATGGCTGCTAGTTGGAAGGGGGGTGGGGATGAGGGAGAAAGGGAAGGGATTAGACAGCATAAATAGGTAACTACAATATTGCCACAGGGCTATGAAAGACAGTTCAGGGAATATAATTAATAATGTTGTAAATGTTTTGTCGGGTGTCAGATGGTCACATGTCTTGTTAGGGAGACTGCTTCATGGATGGGGTAGAGGCTTGATCATTGCACTGTACACCTGAAGCTGATGTATAATATTGTATGTCAACTATAATATATATATTATATATATATAATATATTATATATTATTTATATATATATATAGTCACAGGACGTGGAGTCTAGTGTGGGAGTGGAGTCAAGGGAATTGTAATATTGTAATAGATATGTATGATATGGCGGGGGAGTGAGGCGGTGGATTGGGGGAGGGGGTTGTCACTTTGAGGGGTAAAAAGTATAACTATTGCACTGTGTCATACAGCTGAAACTAATTAAAAAAATGTTTATTTTACAATAAAAAAATACCTCTTAACCCACTATTTAAGTATTTGCCATAGCCTATCATGACAGAAAAATGCAGATGTAGCAATGATTGTTGCCAATGCTTGACATTTAATTTAGCTATTCAGAATGATGGTTCTCTTGATGACTGGAATGATATAATTTGGATTCTGTTCAGGAAGGGGAAAAGTGATACCTACAGGACATCATTGATCATGACTCCCTCCTTTGTTAACCTTTAAAATGTAAGCTTAGGGACTATTTAGTGGTCATCTTGATCTTCTTTTCAAAAGCCTATGCCTTCTGGCAGAGCTTCTGGCAAAGGTTTTCAAAAGACATATAACTCAGTTGGCATATTCCTTTGGCTCTTTTGCTTTTATTTTCCTCCTTCTTTCTGTGGACACAATGCCTATAAGGGTAGAGCCACCTTACAACCATAAAGACAAAAGCCACATGTTAGGGAGAATAAGGCAATACCATGTCTGTATTTGTTATTTGTTATGGAAGATAGGAACCTTCCATAGCAAATAATAGAAAACCCAACTCAAAACTGCTTTAAACTATAAGGAAGTTTATTAACTCACATAACTGGAGAGTCAAAAGTAGGACAGACTTAAGAGTTGATGTGATCTCACTACCTCAGTTCCATTTCTCTGCTATTCTTTTGGCCTCTCCTATGTGTTGACTTCATACTCAGGTTGCCATCAAAAGGACAGTAGCAATTTCAAGGCTATATCAAAGCTCAACATGTCCAGCTGAATCACTTCTGGGAGTTCCCCTGGAAAAGCTTTTCAGGAAGCATGCTGCAAACCTATACTTGCAACTCACTGAGGAACTGGGGAATATGCATGATCCTAATCCAGTCCCTGGCAAGAGGGTGCTATTATCCTTAGACCAGTCCAGACCACCCCTGGAGCTGAAGATGCTAAGCTACATCAACTGTGGGTAAGAGGAAGGGATTCCTGAAATCAAGGAATTCTCTTGGAAAGAAAGGAGGGGAAAGGATGTTGAGTAGGTAAAAAGCTCACTTTTTGTATTCCCAGCATCTTGTAGACATACTTAAAAGAAAAAAGAAAAAAACACAAAAACACCCACACATGCAAAGTTTATGCTTTATCTCAACAAGTTCCTTGAGAGAAGGAAGCATGTTTTACTCTTTATATTATTCCTAGTGCCTAACTCAATATTCTGAACATAGTATAGTTGTTGGGGTTTTTTTTTTTTTTTTCCTGTCAACAAGCTTTAGTGAGAGAAAATGGCCTAAATTACTTAGTCTCCTGGATTCTTTTGTAGATTGCTAGATTTACTTGCTAATCAATTTCTTTGACTCCCAAGACTTAGAGCTGCTGGGGTACAAAGGAAAAATCCCAAGTCCACAGATTTACATTTACTCAACAACTGTATCAATATACCAGTGACTTTTTCTGGAAAAGTAAATCATAGTGAAATCCTTAAAGCTCCTTTTTCTTACCAAAATGAAGAAACTGGAGGGATGAGGATGTTCTGCTTCTCTGAGGACAGTTGCCAAAACTTAAGTTTCAAATCCTCCCCAAATTCCAAATGACTAGAGATGACTACTGATTTTGAAAAACAGTTAATTTTCAAAGGTGTGAACGTTTTATCCCATCCATGGAGATTTAAGTCTCAAAAAAACAATGTCTCTATACTAAGTTTTCGTCACTAGGAAAATCTGGATCATCACTAAATTGACTCCTATACCTCTCTCCCTATCCTATTAAAAAGTATTTCATACTTATTTCCTCTAATGTCTCCTCGGTAGGGCCATTGATAAAGTCATTGCTTGACAACAGCGGTTGGCACTGGTAAGCTTGGCTTGTAGACAGTGCCCTTGACTTGGGGATCAGTGAACCAAGGTTCTAATCTCAGCCCAGACCATTGCTGTGACCAGGGGCTAACCAATGAACCACTCAGCTTCTCTTGCAAAACGGGGATTACAATGGTTTTTACAACGGCCAAGATTAAGTGAGATTCAATACTTAAGCATAATTCCAGGCACACAATGTTAACTTAACAATTTAATACACTTGCTTCCGCATCTATTTTTCCCAATGTTCAACTAATCCTGAACGTTCATTCGGCCTCCACATGAGCCAGGAATTTAGCAAAAGAAAGAAGGGGGATGCTTAGGGATGGGGGTGGGGGACCGCAAAACAGTGTCGCAGTCTGGGGGTGGCTCGGTCCCCCGCCCCGAGACCGGCGGCCATAATACTCTTCGTGGCCCAGGGAGCCAGATACGGGGCGTCACCGAGGGCGTCTAGCTCAGACTTCTCTCTCCGGGAGAGGAGACACACGGAACCCAAAAGAGGGCAACAGTCCCCCGGCTGGAGTCGTCACGACTCGGACCACCCCGGCGCACCGCAGTCCCAGCAGCCATAAGAGGGTAGGAGCACGGACAAAATGGCGCAACCCCACGGCTCAGGGTGGGCAACTCCCCGCTAGCGCGCGCCTTACCCTCCCAGGCGGTGTCTGGGCCTGCGGAACCGGAAACAGGCCTGGGGCGAGGGGGGGGGGGAGCGCCCGGGAGAGACTGGGCGTGGCCGTTCTCCCGGAAATGCCTGCGGCTTGGCTCGGCGCGCGGTTCCGTAGTCTCCACAGTTCCCCAACGGTGCGGGCGTGTAGGGGGGGGCGGGGTGCGGAGCCTGCTGCAGTCTCAGTTCGCAGCGCCTCTCTGGGAGGGCGGGAGCTGGTTAGAGCAGCGATCCCATTGTGGGTAGGGAGGGAGAGTGGCAGAGGGACTCTGACCCTTGCCCCGCCGAGAGAGAGAAGAGAGTTTGGCCAGCCCACCGGCAAAAGCGTTGTTCCTTAGTCCCAAAGGGCAGGGGTAGAATGGAGGGGCTTCTAACTCCCAGGGAGTCCGCAAAATTCATTGCGGAAAACAGTCGGGATGTGTTCATTGACAGCGGAGGTGTGCGGAGAGTGGCTGAGCTGCTGCTCCCCAAGGTCTCCAGTCCGGAGCTGAGCCTGGCGGGCTGGAAGACCCTTCACGAGCTGAACCCCAAGGCGGCCGATGAGGCCGCGGTCAACTGGGTGTTCGTGACAGACACGCTCAATTTCTCCTTCTGGTCGGAGCACGACGAGCACAAATGTCTGGTAGGGTACGGGGGAAAAATGTACAGTGGATTCTGGTCCCTGTGCGCCGCGGTCAACAGAGCTCTTGACGAAGGTTGGTGCCCCTTCTGCAGGCCCGAACCCAGCAGCCTTCGAGGCTTCAGTTTCCTGGGAGGGTCCCAAGGAGCGGGTTGGAAGATGGAATAATGCGTTAATAAGGCGAACTGTAAGTTCTTCGTTGCCAGTTCCTCTGCTTAAAAGTATGAGAAGAGGCTGGCATTAAATCTTTATTCAGTGGAAAATGATCCTAATATTTATCGTTATCGCAACTATTTACAAAAGCCAGATTTCTGAAGAACGCCATTTTGATGACATCTGAAGAACAAAGGGACGGAAATTATAGCACATTTTACGCAGCCAAAAGACATCTGATGTAATATTACAATAGTTAGAAATGGATGGATGAATAAGTACAGGCGAGCAAATAGAAATGAGGAGTCTGCTTCTGATTTTTTAAATTTTTATTATTCATCCACTTTTAGTGCGTTCCTGTAACACTCGTTAGGCTTCATATTAACTGTATGTTGTAAAAGCAGGGGTCTAACGAATACAAAAGTATGACATTGTTCCTCTGCATTTTCTTTTCTCCCTAAGGGATACCAATAACCAGTGCTTCGTACTATGCCACGATGACCCTGGATCAGGTTCGGCATGTATTCCGTTCTGACACCGACGTTCCCATGCCTTTGTTAGAAGAGAGGCATCGGATTCTCAGTGAAACCGGGAAAATTCTCCTTGAGAAGTTTGAAGGCTCGTTTCTTAATTGTGTCCGAAAAAGTGAAAAAAGTGCACAGAAGTTAATGCATCTGGTAGTTGAAAGCTTTCCCTCTTACAGAGATGTGACTCAGTTTGAGGTGAGTTGCTTCTGTTGGGGATTTTAGAATTCTAATTTATTCATAGTTAACTCTTTGACTTCTGGAATTCCTTTTGAGAATAAAAACTTAAATTTTAAAGTTTGTTCCTTCTGGACAAGGAATAGTAATAAAATTAAGTAACAAAATCAGTGTATTTCCTTTATTCGCTTGTCCTTTTAAAATGTTTCAAAACTAGAAAATGCTGGACCTTCAACATGATGTTGCCGCCTAGTGATAAGGAGGTCCTTTTAATACTTCAAAAATTTACTTATTGGATGAAAATCAGAATCTATACTAAATTCGCTCTAGTGAAAAGTATTTTTTGCAAAGTTCTAATGTATGAAGCTTGGACAATTAGGTTCGTGACCTTTCCACTGTGTAAATGTATGGTGGAAAGTTCGAGAACTTAATTGCCTGACCTTTATACTATGTGTTTTCCTTTTCGTGCACAGAGTACTTCAGCAGTATTATTTGCTTATGGTTCAAAAAATTTTAAAGAGCTGTATTTTTAAAATGGTGAACATTTTGTATAGTCTCCCAGTATACATCTGGATTTTGTTTTCGTAAAATTCTTTTAGAATCTCTTATCACTGTGTATTTTTACTGTGACAAGAATTGAAAGCATCTTTAGTGGAATCACATAATATAAATTTATTGGATAAGTTAATGAATATATTTGTCAAGTTGAAATTTTAAAGCAACTTTAAAAAAAAAAATCTTTTAAATTGGGGGAGGAGAACAGTATTGGGGAATTGGAGAAGACCAGCCAAGTTGTTGTTCTTCAGTCTTCGTTTGTGTAGGGCCCCAATCGCCATCTGGCTGCCTGTTGGCAGCTGGTGGCCTCTAAGCTCAAGGTGCTGTGTTCAATCTTAGTTGCAGGTGGGCGTAGCTACCATCCCATGTGGGAGTCAAACCTGGCAGCCTTGTTGTTAAGAGCCCACGCTCTAGCCACTGAGCCATCTGGGTGGCAGCTCAGCTCATGGTCCTGAGTTCAGTCTTAGTTGCGGGTGGGCATAGCCCACTATCGAACAGGCAATCTTGTTGTTATACCAGCTGAGCAATCCTGCCACCTGTTGGCAGCTCAGCTCAGGCGCAGTGTAACTGGCCCATGTGGGAATCGAACCAGCGGCCCCGTTGTTCAGGGCTCGTGCTCTTAAGCCAACTCAACGAACTGAGCCACTCGGCCAGCCCCTAAAGCAACTTTTTGTAATCACAATTCAACAGCAACCAAAATTACCAATAATATTGTTTAACTACCTTGGCGGTAATCCCGAGTGTGGCTCGGGGTTAATTTTCACTGCCAGAAGCGGTAACCCCGAGCCACACTCGGGATTACACAGCAGTGTCCCAGAGAAGTTCTTTACCTGCTCCCTGCGATCCTGCGGTGTCCTCCTGTGATCTCCGCACTGGCTGATGACAAATTGCAGTGTTTTTTATTTGATTACATTATTGAATACAATTATTATTTTTTATAATTATTATAATTTATGATTTTGTGTTTCAAACTTTATCATACCTAGGATGCCTACTAGACTCTTGTTTGGACAGATTTAAGTGAGTAATTCCTAAGAATTATAGGCCTACAATATAAAACAACAAATTTCTATGCAAAACAATGTACCACTTTGGGTACAAAATTACTGACATAATCAGACTGCCAGGGAGGTTAAATCGCTCTTTATGATTTACAAGGTGTTTGCATATACTCTCATTTGATCCACAGAGCCTCTCTGTGGGGCCTAAGAACAAAGAGCATTATTGTCCCCTTTGCAGACCAGAGTCGAAAAAGAAAGTGTAACTAGTTTATCTTAGGTCATTTAGTCAGGAAATAGCTAGCTTTTCGATTATAGTATAAAGTGATAGATGACCTAATTATGTATGTTAAGATTCTTTTCATTGCAAGTGACAGACCAAAACTAGAAAAAACTTAATCAAAAAGAATTTTTGGATGAATATTGGAGATAGGAACAACCAGGATCAAGGACTCAATGTCATCAGAATTCAATCCCTCCTTTTTGCTTCTGTTGACTCAATTTTTCTGTTACTGTAGACCAGCTTCCTCCATGAAATAGAAAAGGTCCATGAATTTTGCATCTTATTGCTTCAGCACCAGAGAGAGAAAGGAGACACTCTTTTTCAGTTCCAATTTTAAAACTCCTGGGTAAGGACTGATTGAACTGATGGGGTAGAGAAAGTTCCTAAAAGAAAAGAGGGCTAGGTCAACTCACCATTGAACTTCATTCTGTTCTGACTATTTTGCTAATGCAGAATCTTCTTTGAGATTTACCTTTGTCTTCAAAGTATATCATTTCAGCCTTGTTTTTCAAGAAATTATGGATCAAGTTAATTGGTCCATCATTCAGGCCATCTAAATATATTAAACAGTGTATAAAAGAAATCAAATTCCCATTCATGTGGCTAAGAATTCCTGTATTCCAGACTTGACATGTTTGTAGTAGAAGACTGACTGAGATTAAATTTAACATGACTTCAAGATGGAATGAATTCAGGACACCATGTAGTTTGTTTACTTTCAAATTGTCCTCTGAGTTTTTGTTTTTGTGGAAGACAGGAGTGAATATTTTTGTAGATTATAATATTGATTTAGTAAGCATTTGCTGAGTTCTATTTTACTTACAGCACAGTTGTGCTTTTGATTTGCTTTGCTGAAAATTTCAGTTTTTAAAAACTGCACCAAGATATAGATGAATTTTAAAGCTGATACATTTTAAAATTAAAACTCATTTTCTATCAGTGCTCATTACTAAAATACATTCTTAGAGAAAAATGTCCAAAGTGTAACAAAAATCATACTTAACAATTTTAACACTTTGTTAAAGGAGTATTATATTTTTTCATTTGTTTTTTCCATAAGATTATCATTAGCATTATCCAAAAGCACTAGATTTTTGTAATGCCTATGATTCCTAACGTAACACTTAGCCTATAGTGGGTGCTCACTTAATGCTTTGCTTGGTCAATTTATAGTTATCTTTGTATAATCATTTAAAAGAGAAAAAATTAAAGCACTTTGTGCAATTAATTCCAAATCTGGAGGAATGCTGATGAACAATTTTGGACTGCTTTGAAATTCAGAAAGTGTTATGTTAAGTATATCTTTTTATCTATATTTTAAAATTTTTTAATTGCAAAAGTAAAATGTTTAGTTATCGAATTGGAAAGTACAGAGAAGCAGCCTCCATTCTACCAAGCGGTAACCACTGATCACAATTTGGTCATTTTCTCTGTGTGTGTGAATGTGTATACATGTAGACAGGGGAGAATTAGGATCATGCTGTATAAATTTTTTTTTTTTTTTTAGCTGAGCCATCCTGCCACCTGTTGGCAGCTCAGTGGCAACTCAGCTCTGGCTGGACTCGAACCGCTGTTGCTCAGAGCTCAAACCCTTGAGCGAGCTCTTAACCAACAGAGCCACTCGGCCGGCCCACTGTATAAACTTTTAAATTTAACATATTACGAACATCTTTGTATGTCAATAAAATTCTTTCACATTACATTTATTTTTTCATAGTACCAATTTTAATGGCTTCATAGTATTTCACTGTATGGATGTACAATCCCATAATTACTTTCCTAAACTATTTTACCACAATAATTGCATTTATACAGTTTATTTTTAAATTGAATTTTATGTCTTGTTTTCAGTTTTATGCTATAATAAGCAATACAACACAACAGTTGAACACCCATAATTGTTTCCTTAGAACAAATTCCTAGTAGTTGAAGTGCTGAGTCTGGATTTTCAGGCTTGTAATACATAAAAATGTAAATGCTCTCTAGAAAGATAATTACAAAGATGATCATTAGCTGCATATGAGAGTGCCCTTTACTCCTTTAGAACATGGTAATGGTATTGTTTGTTACATGTTTTTGTTTTTTTAAAGATTTTATTGGGGAGTTGAGGAAGGGAAACAGTGTTGGGAGAGGGGAACAGCCAAGTTGTCGTCCTTCAATCTTAGTTGTGGAGGGTGCAGCTAGCTCAGCTCCAAGTCTAGTCGCCATCTGGCCACCCGTTGGCAGCTCACAGCCGCTCAGCTCAAGGTACCCTTTTCAATCTTAGTTGCTGGTGGGTGTAGCTCACCATCCCATGCGGGAGTTGAACCAGCAACCTTGTTAGGAGTACATGCTCTCACCAGCTGAGCCATCCTGCCACCTGTTGACAGCTCAGCTCTGACGCAGCTCACTGGCCCATGTGGGAATCGAACTGACGGCCCTGTTGCTCAGAGCTCGTGCTCTTAACCAACTGAGCCACTCGGCCGGCCCCCTACTATATTTTTTTAATAATTAACAAGTTGCATAAAAATAGTCATAATTATTTTTTATTTTTTATTTTTTTTTAAAGATTTTTATTGGGGAATTGGGGGGATGGGAACAGTGCTGGGGAATTGGGGAAAGGGGAACAGACAAGTTGCTGTCGTTTTGTTCTTCAATCTAGTTGTGGAGGATGTTGCTTCACTGGCCCAAGTTGGCACCATCATTGCGCTCTTCTCTGGCGAGGCAGATCAGTCGCCGGCTTCTGGACGGCCGCTCACTGCGGCTGCTGGCCGCTCACGCTGGCTGCTGGCCACACACGGTAGCCCATGGCAATGCACTGCCACAGGGACTGCAGCCCACGCCGTCGCCAGCGACTCACGGCAGCCCAGCTCCAGGTTGAGCTGTTGTTCAGCATCTTAGCTGTAGAGGGCAGTGTCACTGGCCCTCATATGTGGGATCCGAACCGGGGCCCTCTGGCATCCCAAGCGAGTTCTTAACCATCGCGCCACTCGGCCGGCCCCCGTCATAATTATTTTTAATGTATACTTATTTACTGAGATTATCATTCATTTTTAGATTAATGAAATTAGAAATTTTTAGTTGAGATAGATTAGTCAATTCCCAACCTGTCTGTGCCCCAGAATCAGTGAAGAAGTTTTAAAATGCAGAAGTATTTCCAAAGTGCCATCCTCAAGGATTCTGATCAATAGGTAAAAGAAAGAGGAAGACTTTTTTTAAGCTCTTCAAGTGACTGATTTGGAGTATGCAGTAACTATGTAAAAGCCCTAATTAATAAATCACTTCCTTAGGCTATGAAAAATATGAGCTTTTTTGGTATTTTAATCGATAACATTTTATGTTACTCTTAAGCATTTGTTAAGTCTTTTGTTTTTTTTGTTTTTTTTACAGGAAAATACTGGTAATTTCATTTGATGAAAATTTATGCTTCACAAAAAATACCATAACAAAAGACACAAATAACTAGCAATGATATTTGTAAGACGTGGTTAAACAAAGGGTTAATTCCTTAAAATATAAATACTTTATGATTAAGAATCAAGTCACATAGAAAAATGACCAATAGGCATGGACAAGAATTACAGAAAACAAGGAAGTAAAAATCTTAGAATAGTCTCAAAATCAGCCTTATTAGAAACAGAAATGAAACAGTAAAGCTCCAAACATTTGTAATTCTTGACCTTTCTAATTTATTCATGATAAATTTGTTGAAGAAAATCAGCTCATGGTCATAGAGTTTTTCATTGACAATTATTTTATAAAGGTTCTATTTTGAAAATAGTTCATTCACGAAGCAGTATTTTGCAACATGTAAGTAATTGTTATTTTAGGATTTGCTGGTATTTTCAGTGACATCAGTTAATATTTTAGAGACATAGAATTTGATTACTAAAATCATTTGATTACTAAAAACATATCACCTTTTTAGAAAAAGTGTTATTGATGATTTTAATTTATTTTTAGATTCTTCACTTGAGTCTTATATACATATTTTAAAATTTTAAGGATATAATCTAATCTTTATAATATACTAGTTGGCTACCATGGAAACAGTGGCCATGATGTGACAATTTGTTTTGTTAGATGCTACCACTGATTTTGTTCTGTAAGTCTGGTTTCTAGATTTTTCCAGTTTGCTCTCAATCTTGTTAAAAATGGGAGATAATAGCCTCTATCATAATAAACATGATGTAATAATTGTTTTTTGATACACAGTTTTATTTTTTATTTATTTATGTTTTTATTATTGGGGAACTGGGGGATGGGAACAGTGCTGGGGAATTGGGGGAAGGGGAACAGACAAGTTGCTGTCTTTTTGTTCTTCAGTCTAGTAGTAGTGGAATACGTTGCTTCACTGGCCCAAGTTGGCACCGTCATTGCGCTCTTACCGGGTGAGGCAGATCAGTCGCTGGCTTCTGGACGGCCGCTCATGGCGGCTTGAGGGCCACTCACGGTGGCTGCTGGCTACCCACAGTAGCCCATGCCAATCCACTGCAGCAGGGGCTGCAGCCTATGCCGTTGCCGGCAAGTCACGGCAACCAGCTCCAGGTTAAGCTGTTGTTCAGCATCTTAGCTGTAGAGGGCAGTGTCACTGGTCCTCATATGTGGGATCCAAACCGGGGCCCTCTGGTGTCCCAAGCCAGTTCTTAACCAATGCGCCACTTGGCCGGCCCTACACAGTTTTATTTTGTAAATTAAGTTATGTCTTGCTGTTTCGTAAACTAGCCTTGAATTAAAAGCCTAGTTACCATATGTAAGTCCAGTTTATATAGAGGAAAAATTGCCAGGTTTTCATATTTTCAGAGTTTTGGGAATATAAGTTATTCCCAAATGATGTAAGGATACTTCTTAATGGTGATTTGGTCCCTTGACACTCAATTTAATGTATGGACTTTACACCATGTCAAAAAATGAGCATATGTGTTTGTTCTGAAAAACAAGATACTGAATTTCCTAATGTTGGCCTTAGAAAACTTAATTTACTTAGTAAAAAGTAGGTTTGGATTGATTGCAATAACCTTGCTTTACAGTTAAGCATATTAGGTTATTTCTTATGAGGACACAGTATCACTGGAGTGTTTTTTACTAAATAAGGGAGTCTATATTGTCATCTTAAGAAATTTTTGTATGGAGCCTTCCTTTCCTTGAAGAATTTGATTTCTTTTTTTTTTTTTTTTTAATTTTTTTAGCTGAGCCATCCTGCCACCTGTTGGCAGCTCAGCAGCTGCTCAGCTCGGGCCGGGACTCAAAC